TAGAAAATGGCACCTACTGAACTTAGAGATTTAACGGTACATTTACAAGAATTGTTAGACTGGGGTTTCATAAGACTAAGTGTGTCAACTTGGGGAGCTCCGGTATTATTTGTGAAAAAGAAAGATGGGTTTATGTGATTATGTATAGACTATCATTAGTTGAATAAGGTAAATATGAAGAATAAACATCTTCTACCAAGGATGATGATCTTTTTTATCAGTTAAAAGGCGAATGAAATTATGGTAATTTCATTCGGATTAACTAATCCTCCTGCAGTATTTATGGATTTGACGAACATAGTATTTCAACCATGTTTGGTTCAGTTCGTAGCGGTATTCATTGATGATATTTTGTTTTATTTTAAGACAAATGAAGAGCATTATGTGCATCTTTGCATTGTTCTTCAGACTCTTCAAGATAAAAAGCTATATACTAAGTTATCAAAGTGTGAGTTTTGGTTGTTTGAAGTTGTTTTTCTTGGCCATGTGATTTTGGCAAAGGGGATTAAAGTGGATCTCAAGAAAGTGCAAGCTATTGTTGAATGGAAAATCCATAGAATGTCTATGAGGTACGAAGTTTCTTGGGACTAGATAGTTATTATCGGAGGTTAGTAAAGAATTTCTTGATAATTGCCTATCCACTTACCAATTTATGAAGAAAAGATGTTTCATTTGTTTGGACTGATAAATGTCAAGAAAGTTTCGAGATATTAAAGAAAATGTTAACAAAAGCCCTTGTGCTAGTGCAACCAAGATCTAAAAAAGATTATGTAATCTATAGTGATGCATCCCATAATGGTTTGGGATGTGTACTGATGCAAGAAGGAAACGTTGTGACCTATGCTTCAAGACAACTCAAAACGCATGAGAGGAATTATAAGACTCATGATCTGGAGTTGGCAACAGTTATTTGCTTTGAAAATATGGAGTCGTTATTTATATGGTGAACGATAAAATATTTACACCGATCATAAATGTTTGAAATATTTGTTGACTCAAGATGTGCTTAACTTGAGATAGAGAAAATGGATAGAACTTCTCAAAGACTATGATGTGGTTATTGATTACCATCCAAGTAAGGCTAATGTGGTAGTTGATGCCCTAAGTTGGAAGACATTCTCTGTATTGGTTGTAGAACCTAAGTTGAAACCTACTTTGTCGGATCAAATTAAAGATTCTCAATCAAAAGATGAAAATGTTTATTAAGGATAAAGCAAGTTGAAAAGGGGGAAACTAAATAATTTGAAGTTAAGCTTAATGGATGTTTATATTATCGAGGAAGAGTTTGTATCCCATATAATGAAAAATTAAAACGAGAGCTTCTTACAGAGGCGCATTGTAGCCCATTGACTATGCATCCAGGAGGAAACAAGATGTATCAAGAATTAAAGAGTCGATATTGGTGGCTTGGCATGAAAAGAGCAATAACTGAGTTTGTTTCTAATTTTTTAACATGCCAAGAGGTCAAAGAAGAACATCAGGTGCCTTTAAAATTGTTACAACCGATTTCCACTCCTCAATGAAAGTGGGAAAAGGTTACGATGGATTTTATAAATTGATTGACACTAACACCTAACAAGAAGGATTTAATTTCGGTGATTGTGGATAGATTGACTAAATCAACACACTTTATTCCAGTTTGAACTGATTATACTAGGATAAGTATGATGAGTTGTATATCCGAGAGATGGTTCGACTACATGGGGTGCCAATATCGATTGTGTCAGACAGAAATTTGAGGTTCACTTCAAGATTTTGGAAATCTTTGCATAAAGCCGTAAGAACTTAGCTTAATTTTAGAATGTTTTTCATCCTCAAACATATGGAAAATCTAAACGAACCATTCAAAATTTGAAGATGTGCTTAGAGCATGCGTGATTGAATGCCTTTAACTGAGTTTCGCTTATAATAATAGTCATCAAGCAAATATTAAAATGGCTCCTTATGGAGTACTTTATGGAAGAAAATGTCGAACTCTTTTGAACTGGTATGAACTTAAGGATTGTGATATTATCATACCTGACTTGATCAAAGAAGTTGAAGTTAAAGTGAAGGTTATTCAAGATAATCTTAAGATTACTACCAATGAAAAAAATTCTTACTCTGATCTAAAGAAGAAAGAGATTAAATTTCTTGTTAGTGAAAAAGTATTTCTCAAAGTATCACTGTGGAAAAAGGTGTTACTCTTTGGACGAAAAGGGAAACTGAGTCCAAGATTTATTGGTTCTTATGAGATTGTGAAATGAGTTGGTTTGGTAGCATATTAATTAGATTTACCTTAGAATATGGATAAGATTCATAATGTATTTCATGTATCGATGCTTATAATGTATCATTCATATCCTTCTCATATTATCACTCCAAAAGAAATTGAGACACGACTAGATATGACTTATGAAGAAGAACCGATAAAGATTCTAGTATATGGAGTCAAAGAATTACGGAAGAAGATGATTTCACTTGTTAAAGTACTTGGGAGGGAATTTTGTTATTGACCAAAATGAATAATGTGAAAGTTTGGTGGCTAAAGTAGTTTAGGGACTAAATGGTAATTTTCATAAAAGTAGTATTTTTCACGTAAATGATTAGTTTGCCCACAAGAATGATGTTTTCATACTTGGATTTTTGGTACGGAATTGGTTTTAAAAGCTATAAAGTGTTAAAGTTCAGGAAAAATTTGAATAATCGGTTCGAAACGAAAATTTAGAAATTTTTGCTAGATAATAGAGCATGGGGAAAAGTCATTTCCTATGCTTAAAAAGATGAGATTGAATGTGAACCATTGTATTTAAGATGATTTCCATGTTAAATCTTAAATTGGATTATAAAGAACAAGATTGATATTTGAATATTTATAAGGGTCAATTTGTAAACTACTAATTCATTGGTATAATTTCAGCCTTTAGATGAGAATATTTACAAGTGGCATGATTAGGAACATTGGATTATAAGGAAATTGATCATTTTGAATTAAATTGAATTTTAAATTCATTTAAGTATTAATAGTCAAAAAGGACTAAATAAAAAAAAAACTTCAAGAGAGCTCTACATTTTTGCTGCTGCCGTGAACTTCAAAAACAAAGATAGTTGAGTTAAAATTTTGATTTTCAAGCCTTTTAAGTTGGATTTAAGGTTAGACATGAAATCTAATTTTGTTCTCTATTAAATTCCTTACACTTTGGTACCATTAGTTCTAGTTTTGATTAGTATATGTTATGGAATTGGAGGAGATAGTATTTGAGGTTTAAGGATTCAATTGAATTATAATGGATTATGAAAGCTTAGATGTTGTTTTATCATTTTTATACTTGATTGAAGTTGAAAATCAATTGTAAAGTTATGGGAACCTATTGGCTATTATGGAAAGTTTAAAATTTGAGACGGAAATTTATTTTGAGTTTTTTCATTAAGGATTAAGTATTTAGAAAGTTTTAAAGTGTTGTTTTGAACAAAAATACAAGGATATACTATGGGGGAACAATTTGAAATTTTTTAAAAATAAAGGATTGATTTGTAAATGTGTTTGGTGATGGAAATGATTAGGAAATGCTGTTAATTTTTAAAAAATGGATTGTTTGAAGCTTGAAACCTAAGGTTAGATTGAAGGACTAGTTTAGCTATTAAGGAAAGTAAGGGAAAATTATAGTGAAAATTGTGTTTGAAAGTGTTAGATAATTCGTTATTATTCAATCTTCATTTTTTCTTATGTAGTTAGAGTGTGAAAGTTGGAGTTGAAATGTTAAAAGAGAGAAAAGTTTTGGTGAAAATATGGTATTCAAGACTTTTTTTTAATAGAAACAACTAATCATATTAAAAAGTGAATATCCGAAATTACATAAGAGTTTACAACTATCATCGCAAACTAAACACATAATTTGGACATTTCTATAACATTGAAACTAGCCACTTTAGATATTTTTATTTTATTAGTGTATGGTAGAATTAATTTCTAACATGTATTTAGATTTTGTGTGTTTTGTAATTGATGTGCTTGAAGCATCCAAGTTTAATCAAGGTGAGGTGAACAAAAAGAGAAAGAAAAAGGAATGCTTGTGATAAGCCAACCTTCATTTATATGATATGATATTTTATTGAAATTTTATTTATTGATATGTTATTAAACAATGGATATGATATGTTTGTGATTCATGTTGTGTTGGAATTGTGTTATTTAGGGTATGAATTGCCCATTATGTTATGGGTATGAAATGTTCTATATGTTATTATTATTGTTAATTGAAATAACATTGTAACATCTATTGAAAAGCCTAAGTATATTCATTGAGAATCTTGGTATAATTGGCATGACATAGAGTCTAGCAGTTAATCTAGTGATTGGTACTTCAATACGTGATTGGTATTACAATACCCTAGTGATTAATACTTAGGTATCCTATTGTTTGGTACTTCGGTATCCTAATGATGGATACTTTGGTATCTTATCGTGACTCGCACACTTTGCATTCTCATTGGTACTTTGGGCTAGGTGACAAAAAGATTGAAATTGCAGGCGGAAAAAGATTAAACTTGTAAGCTTATAATATATGTTAGTGATGATATGTGATATGTGTAGGAACATTTCTATAGTGAGCCAATGATTACAGGTTTATATTGAACTGAATAAATTAATGTGTTATATTTATGCTTTTACATATTGATGAGATGATACATTTTTAATGGTTGTTTAATTTGTGTTATATTTAAGCTTTGCATATGATGAGATGATACATATTTTTAATGGTTGTTTGTATTGTTATTATTTAAATGTCTCACTAAGTCTATACTTAGTGTGTAATTACTGATGAGTATAGTAAACCAACTTTTCACCATTTAATTATCAAATGTAAATGTGTAATTCTCATTTCTAATAATACTGTATTAATGGAATTCTAACTTCTACAAGTAAAATCAGGGAGAGGGGGAATCCGAAAATTCAACAGATGCTAAAATTTTAACTGAAGATTATTCAAAAACATTCTATGGAGAAATTTTGCCCAAGTCAAGGATGTGGGAAAATGCAAAATTGTGGTTTTTTATCAGTGCCTGCGAGTCAATGCTGCAGCAATTCCACCAGCGATAAGTCCCAAAGCAGTAGCAGTGATGCCAATTCCAATAACACCGTCTGCATGTATATATTCATAATCCATTCAGTCCATGCCCTGTGCTATACTTTAAGCATCAGAATCAGTAAGAGAATTCCAGTTATCACCTTTCGCAATACGATCCTCAACTGCATTTTTAAGGACTAGAGCTTGCCTCCAATCAGGTGCAATCTACAAAAGCAATAATCCATAATTAAACAATAATAAATAAATAATATTAACGTTCATCAATTGATAGAACGATAATCAAAATCAAATCTATGAATCAATGTATGTAGAAAAATTATATGGCAATATAAATAGTCATTTGGGGAGGAAGGAGAAGAAAAATGGGTAGACGCATATGATCATTTCTACAAACTGGGATGATAGGATGAATCTCAAATCACTTCTCTACCTTTGAATAAAATTTATCTTTACACCACTGATCATTAGATTTTTCTTTTAAATGTTTAGCTTGTCGATTTTCATGTTAGTAGTGAGAACCTATTACCCTTGAATGTTACTCTTTTTAAGGATAATTTGAACGGTCAACTTAAAGTTGGTTGATACAAATATAAAAAAATTGATACTAACTAAATCATTGACTTGATTAAAGATTGGCATAGATATTAATATTTTAGATAGCAGACAGTTTTGACTGAGCATGAGACAAGTCTACAAAAATCAGACCAGGTAAGATGCATAACCACTAAGAATTTATTTTTAGATTGAAATGGGTCAAGGAAAAGCAAATAAACCTCCAGACACTGCTCCACAAGTTGTCTACTCCTTGAGAATTCACCAGTTCTGAAATATCCAACAGCTAGAAGGTAAATTTTCTCCCTCTGTTGCAACGGAGAGCTGCTATTGGACAATGATGCTGCAAAGGCAAATATTGTTACTAATTCTATATACCGAAAGTGACATTAAAAACACTGAAGTAATAAAGAGTAAGAACAAATTCAAATTAAAAGAGGATCACCCAGTGACAGAGCTAGGATCAAAGATTGAGGGGGGCTAAATTGTTTTATATCAAAAGAACAAGACTCTATTCAGTATTTAAATCCAAATTTTAGGAGGGGCAAAGATCTTATTTGACTAATATTTAATTAAAAAGGACCTAAAATGCCATTACACCAAAAAATTGGGAGGGGCAGCCCCTTAATAGATTCGTCCTTGGAAACACCAAAGCAAAATTGCTAAGGACCATAAGACTAGCCAGAATGGATGGTCGCAGAAGAACACATCCAATATCTCTACAGAAAGAGTTTATGATTTAATTACTCATAGAAAGGGGGTACTTCTCGAGTTTTTGCATCTAGATACATTGCATAAACATGCATTTTGAAGAAAATTAGCATCGATATGTGACTTATTATTAAAAATACAGTGTAACAAAGCAACCAAAATCAGGCCTAGCAGATAAAAGCATAGCCAAGTCAAGGACCTAGTCACAATAGGTTAACTTGGTAGTATAAAACAGAAATAAACTTCAACAAAGGTAACAATCTACATGTAGTCAAAGCAATTAGAAGGCAATAAGAAAGTAAAGTATGGATACAGAGAGAACACCCATGAAACTTAGGAGCATGAGTACTATTTGACAAATATTTATACTGACAACAGTGAATCACTTTTACTTCGTTACAAAATTACAAACAGGCCCACATACATACTCTGCATTAATATATGAAATATTTATATAGAAAAATCCATAAGATAGGGAAGACAGTATTGATAACCAACCTTCTAGCATGGCTATACCACGCTGCACATCTTCAGCTTGACTAGAATGAACAAGCGCCCATGAAAGTCGCATGATACTTTGGCTCTTCTGTTCCTCTGAATTACCCTTAGCAGCATCAGCAACTTCTCTCTCACACCCCTTCCACCAATACCATAGTTGAAACCAAATGCCAAAACAACAAACAAGAAACAAATGAGTGTCCACGAATTACACAAATCCTCCCATCCAGTTTCTTTTAACTCTGTACTTCAAGCATTGCTACAATTACAAACATTCAGACTTCGGTATCTGAACCGCTAGATGCCTCAAACCCTATCATTTTTTCTCTTCAAATAAGAAAAAAACAATAGATAAAAAGAATTACCTGACACCGAATGACAAATTTATCAAATAAATGAACAATCAAAGAGAATGTTATTGCTGGGAATCCAATTTTAACAGGACAAAAGAAATTAATAAAATAAATGGAAAAACTTGAATGTATACTAACGGCAATGACGTCGCGGTCACACCAAGGAATCTGATCGCCACCACCGAAGAAGGTTCCGATGGATTCAAAGAATTGCCCGATCTTTGCTTCCATGTTTCAATTATCAGTCACAGTTGAATCAAAAAAAATAAAAATAACGGAGGATTCAGTTCGATATTTACGGGTTTTGTTTATTAATTGGAATTTAATTTTATAAATTATTTTTCCCGTCGAGGCAGAACTTAAGGATTAAGAAATTGACTGTTTGGTTATTGGCAGTTGCCATGCCACGTGAAAGTATTTTTTAAGTTTCCTCACTCGAATTTACTCTACAAACTAGCAAAATTTGAGCTTTATTCCCTACGCATGAGCAGAACCAGAAATTTATTAAAGTAGGGTTAAAGTATTTTTTATTTTTCATAAATATAAATTTTTTAATTGAGAAAGATTGGATAAATTTTTATAATATTAATTAATACTTAAAAAATAATGACGGGGACTAAGAGAAGCCTTGACCCCATTATATTCCACCTCTGTCGCCACGTATACTAAAACCTATCACTAATGAATAATATTTATATCAAAACAATAATACTAGTATTAATCATTCAACAATTATTATATTAGTATTAAAAATTATGTTTCAGACAGTTTTAATCATAAAATTGTAGGATTGATTATTGTTGATAGGAAAAAGGGTAGATAAGTGATAGATTCAAAAATATTTTTTAGGGTGGACATACATGTATTAATAATAAAAAAAAATTTGTATGATGTAGGCAAAAATAAAATTTTAAGGTTGAACATTACTAAAATAAACAATTAATATAAAAAAATTCAAATTTTAGAGTGGATAATTGTTGACCCTGAACTACGCGTACCTACGCCACTGGGTTAAATTGAATGTAGATAACTCATAACTTCTAATTTGGATAGAGAGTCTTTACTAGTGAAAAGTTGGTTGCTATGCACTAAAGTTAGAGATTAAATGTACGAAAAGAAAATTGCAGGGAAAAATGCTCAAAAGTGGAGGAAGAAGTATCGAAAGTAATCTATTCTTCTGTTTATCATTGGAGTTTATATACTGACTCTCTTGGCATGTTAATGTCAGGTCTAGGTTATGACTGGTGTATATAGACCAAAAAAGTGTATAAATGTAGCTTCTGGTCAGTGGATCTGATCTTAAAAAATATCATTGGTTTATTAAATATATTGTTGAGGACTATTTAGCCTCCAACGAGTCTATCCAGAAGTGATCTTAGTATATTGACAAGGAGGTTATATTTTTGGAGGTGAACTTGCCTCTATGGAGGTACAACAAATTTATCCCTTGTGATCGAGACAGTGTCATAAAGTGACTTGACACCAAACCTAGATATGACTTTATTCATAATGTTTTATGATTCTCTCTTGAGTTCTATTTTATTTGAAGATTTGTAATCAAACGGACTAAGGTGATTTTACATGCGTTGTGGGTATCTCCTCAATTTAGATCTACATAAGGTGATTGTTTTGATTGCCATCATTTCGACTTGTTTTGGATTTAGGTTATCAATATCGGAGTTGTTTCCCTATTTACAGACACTCTTTGTGGATAACAGAGTCGTGTGAAATTTTATCTGGACTTTTAAGTAATTTTTTATGCTTCATTTAGGTAGGATGTTTGAATTGTTTGCTGCATGGTGAAGGACCCCAATGTTTCTATAAATATGTCCAAATTCGTATTTTGTATTTAGATGAACATTTTATAAATGGATGGGGTTATCCTGGAGCCATCTCCAAATTTGAAGGGCTTTTCAGCGCTTTTGGGAATTGTTTTTACGCTTCTAAGAATAAAGATCAAGTGGATTCCTCTCTGGATCTGTATGTCTTCCCTACGAGGATGCTCAAACTCTTTAATGAGATATGAATTTAAATCGAGTGCATTTGTCTCCTAGTTCGTGTTATTTTCAAGTAGAGGATATATACTTTAAAGAGTTGTAATGGGTAAAATTATCTTCAGTTCTGAGTACATTTCCTAGCAGAAGATTCTCTACGCTTTGGAGGGGTATTTGATCATTTTAGTGAGATTAAATTGTACGAAGATATCTCCATGCCCGCATGCATTTTCCTACGTAGGATTTTTAAACGTTTTAAGGGTATCTTATTTTATTTAAGGAGAGTTTATCTCTTGCCTCGTATTTATTTTCTGTGAGGGATGCATGGAACTTATAAAGTGTTTAAATAGATTCAGGTGATTATGTCCAAGCTAATATGTACTATCATCAAAGGATTTCCGACACTTTTGGGATGTTTCAATTAATTTGAATAGAGTTTTCTCTGATTCTGTATATATTTTCTTACACAGGATCCTCGATCGATACTTAAACAAAAATCACCTCCACATTTTATAGAGGGCGAGAATAATCTTTCTCAACCATAGTGGAGGCATATTTATCCGATTTTGCCGATAAAAATGTTATAGTATATTGCTTATAGGAGGTATATAAGCGTCTTCGACCAATAGAAGAGTCAGAGGCAACTTTGACATCCTTGAGGAGTTTGATTAGTGGGTGGAAACTTCTTCTTGTGGTAAAAGTAATGGAGAGGTATTTGTCCGCTCTTGATATGACAAAAACATCTCTACGTTCATAGTAGTAATTGAGAAATTTCTATTGATGAGCAAATGCATCCAACATTCTTTGGAGGATTCACAAAACTATATCAAAGGTAACTCCTACCCAATATAATACCATTAGTCCTTCGTGTAGCTATCGTTTGAAGAATAAAATTTCAAAAAAGAAATTGCTCTTATAGCATAAATAATAATAATCGATAAAGTAAAAAAATTATCCAGCTTAATAGTCGTACTCAACAAAACAATACATTATAGTTGAATGATCATTTTATAATTTTTAATAATAGGGGGATTCAATAAAATAATATCCTATAATTGGGGACCATTTGGGTACTTTACCCAATAATAATTTGAACACCCAAAGTATTGGGTGGCGAGATAGCATTGGGTAATGCATGTCGACCAAAACAAGGAAACCAAATCAAAGGCACCGTATATGTCTTGCCTTCAACTTTCACCATACCTCCTGTATTTCTTTCCTCCAAAGGGTCAATTGACTGATTACACAAAACCCAAACCCACAACAGTAATTACTTGTTGATTTCAAAGAAAAAAAGGGAAATGGCGATGCCTTTGGGCTTGGCTATAGAGATGGCAAGGATGGTGTGGATAGCTTTAAGTGGGTGGGTTTGTTCTTGCTTGACGATTGCCGATGAAGTCGCCGCCTCTCTCAGAAGTGGTGATATCGGTCCCTTCCATGTTGGCTAATCTCAATTCTTCCTCTCTTTTTTCTTCCAATCAAACCCACATCTCTGGTTAGTTTACTTCCCGATCCCCCAAATCTCACTTTTTTCCCTCATCTTCTTTTTATCTCTTATGTTTATATAAGAAAACAATCAAATAGGATGAAATACTACTTGGGTTTTGGCGTTGTGATGTTATTTTGATTGTAGATTGGCATATTGAAGAGAATTTTGTTTATTTCTTGCCATTTGATCGTTTCTAACTATATGTACTTTTCAAGCATAATTTCTTTTAAGTAAATTATCGGCTCTTCAAATTGTTCTGCTCTTCATAAGTTTTAGGTTCCCATAAATTGTTATGTTTAGTGAATGGGCCCTTATTCAGAATGGGGGGCTTACAAGTTTAATTAATAAAGAAAACCATAGGGGGTATAGGGGATAGGAACTGCTAAGGAATCAGGATTTGGTTGGGAGGAGTCCCTTTCTGTGGCAAATCTTGGATGGTCCTAATGCTAATTTGTTAATTCTGAAACTCACACCGGAGATCTACTTGAAAACTCATTATTGGTGGCTTTCATTTTGCACGGAACCGTGTAAAAAGAGTCCATTTAGAGATACCTAGACAGCTTTTAGTTACTATTTAAAAAAGATTTTTGGCTGATCCTCAGTTTGCTATTTATTACATGTTTAAAGCTTTAGGAAGATAGCCGGATCTGATTTGGAAGATTTTATCTACAATTAACCAGCTGCAAAATTCTAATTTTCTTTTCTTTTCAGATATCTTCTAATTCCATATTTCTTAGCATCAATGGTTTCTCAGTTCTCATCCAAGTTATACAATTGAAGTAATGGTGGATGCACCAAAGCTCTATGTCTGATGCATGAGTTTGGACTTTTGAAGTTAATTGTAATGGGATTCACTGGTTTTCCTTAGGTTCAAACACCTATACATTGATTTATAGAGAACTTTTTTACTTGGAAAAAAGGTAAAACATATGATCATGGACCTAACTAGAGCATTTTTTTTATTGGTGGATTGTTCCATATCTGCCAACTTAACTATATTGATTGTATGTATGCAAACTATGTAATAACTACTGGATTTTTTAAAGGTGACACTTGTCTGGCCTTCATAGTTGAAATTTCCATACTGCCGTGTTGTTTAATCATTGGGGTTGAAGGATTCTTGTAAATTCCTAAACTAAAGGAAATGAAATGAAAGAGTAAAAATGCATATATTTGACAGTTTAGATCAGATTGGTGGTATGGTTTGAGGAGTCTTGGTTCTGCAGAGTTGCAACACCCTGGTGCTTGAAAAGGTTTCTTATTGTGGATTCCTTCACAAGGAAGTTTGGTGATGAGAATCTTCTCATTTCCTGGTTTTCATTCTTGATTGTAAGTTGTAACTTCTTGTGACAGCTTTGGTTGAGAACTAATAATATACAAACCAGTACATGTAGCTTGCTAGGAAGCTTTACTTGACCAAGTACATGTGGAACCATTGGATTAGGAGTATAGATGCTTGATTTAAGATTTTTGGTGCAATTGAAAGTTTAATTTAAGATATATTCTATTTTAGTCTATAGTTTGAAGGTTGTTTTGTGATTTTTGGTCCCTTAAGGTCTTAGTCGATGAATTTGAGAAAGACTTGGAAGAGGTAGATGTGCTAAGTATGGTTCCAGGAAGTGTTAACAGATTTATAGAGATGATTAGTGTTCCCTATGTTGACATCTAATGACATGCAAAATTGATTATGTACATGTTTCATGGATCAAGAATTAATAAATGTTTGTATGCATGCTTAGATATTTAATTTGCAAATGTGATAAAACCTTATTATTTATTATCATTGCTATGATTGAACACTGTTTCACCCTTCTGAACTGCAGCTCTAGAAGGCTTGTAATGGGCTTTATGGCTTCGGCATAGGGTGTGTTGGTTTTTGTACTTAATATTTCCTGCTTTATTTTTATTGTTGTTTCCTTTTGGCTTATTGCTGTTTTGTGGATGACAGCTGTTAATTAATTTTTAGGGATAAATACCAAATATGCCATTTTGAGCCAATATTCAATGACATTACTTTCATTTGGTTCAATATACAAACTAAAGAACTTTTTGATGGAATATGCCTTAGAACCCTAAAAAACCACTAATAAGTATTATGATTTGAAAAAATGGTCAGAAAAGGAAAAAGTAAAATGTTGAGATGGAGAGCCATTTTCTTTTTATTTTCCATTTTTCTCTCCCTCTTTTTCCTCTCTGTTTTCTCCTCCTCAGCAGCTGCTGGAACCTCTGCTGGCACCAATCCAATGTTCAACCTCCAAGGCCTTGAGAAATTTAGCCTGTGTTGATCAGGGCTCTATGATCCAGATTGGCACTAGGTGGCATGAGATCTGGCCATATTGGCACCATTTGTTACAAGGGAAAAAGAGTGTTAAAAGAGGTACGAAGAATACAGAAGTTAATAGGAGGAAGAAGAAGATAAAATACTGAAAAAAGTGAAGGAAATAATATGATTACCAAGGTATCCATTTTCTTATTCCTAGGAAAGAGAAGGTAAAAGGAATAAGAAAACGATAAAATACTTGAAACTTTGTTGCAAGCTATGCTAAATGCTGAAAAGATTTAAACATCTATAATGAGCCATTTGTAGAAACCAGTAACTTTAACTGAGATGACTCCTTTACAATCGAAACTACTCTTGTTGCGGTAATGCAAGTTGGGGTTAGTCAATTTGTATAACATGTCCAAATGGGGCTTTCATCATACATTGGTAATAGTATTTGCTTCATGTTATACGTCTATCCTCGTCTAAAAGATATATTTCTATTTCTATGTTTTGCAGGATGAACCTAAAAGAAGAATTAGGAGGAGCATGGGGATTGAAAGGCAAAAACCAGTTTTAATTTCATTCATTGGTGTGGCATGCAAAACTTGGTTATTGGTTTATTTAAATTCCAGTACACTGATAACTGATAAGACTACTGGAGGTATGAACAACATACTTTGTACAGAGAACTTTTCTTCAGATTTGTGGAATTAATGGAAGGCACACTCGTATCTTAAATGATCAATCTTACTGGTTTATCTGAACATTACTCATTTTATACTAATGTGTTTAGATGACGAGAGTATGTCGATTTGTGTTATGATGTTGATCCAAATACCAATAGTCTGATTCTGATATTTCTTATGCAACTGTATATGAAGACTGTAGGTATATGCATGAGTATTCCTATGAACAATCCTACGGGTTGCTTTAGTCATATTATCTAGCGTCAATGACTTGTGTGGGTTTCGAGCTTGTAGCCATTTTGTCCAAGGTTTGAACTCATGCCCCCAATGTGATTTGTTTGGGAAAGTCTGAAAAACAACAAACCTAATTTAAGGTTAAGGTTAAGGTTAAAAACGGAGAAAATAGACGTCACCAAAAATGTTTTAAAAAATATAATATTTTCGGTTGTGTCATTTTCTTCGTTTCTTAGCCTTAAATTATTAGGTTGTACAGTATAACTACCTGAGTTGTATTGTTATCACCAAATAGCGTTTTCCTGGCAGTGCTTTGTACATGTATGTTCGTCAAGCTCGTTGTAGTTAAAAATCTCAAAAATTGCACTCCTGAAAATCAGAAATAAATGTCATAGGAAACTATATTTTAATTATTTATTCTATCATCAACACATATTATTTTAGATATGAGTTTATTTATTTCTTGTAACTCTTGAATTTTATTTTATTTTTATCAAACTGAATCAATTGAAAAAATAGTAATAAACTTATTAAGATGGTCATTTATTTGTTTTTATACTAATTTTTATATATTTTCTTTAAAATTTTAAATATTATTTTATAAAATTTCAATTTTAATAATTTAAACACATGTTTATATTTTTTTACTATTCTATTAATTTTTAAATATTTTTAGTATTACAATGTTTTTTTCGTGTAAAAGAATATGATAATTGACATCAGGTTCTTTTTTCTAAATATTGGACAAAAACATAAAAGTTTTGAGGGCTAAAATAGGAAAAAAATGTTTAAGAGTTAATTTGTTTTTGACATAATGGTAAAATAAGAAAATAAAAGTAATCATTTTGACTCTTATTCTTTTGATTCAAAATGAAATTTCAGGTGTTAATCTGCTAAAAAAAATAGTACTATAGGGTTTCTTTTGTCATTATGTTTTTTTTTTGTCTTTAAAAAAGTTTCAGGGTGAAAATATATATTTAGGCTAAAATTAATGCTTATATATCAAATTGGTCCTATAATAGTTCTTAAAACTCAATTAAGCCTTTAATATGAATCATAGATCAAATAAGCTTCTCTAATCATCATTACACACATTAAATCGTTAGATTTGTAACGTGAAAACACCTACTTGGCTGAAATTTATTTTTTTTAAAATATTTTGAATTATAAATCACTTTTAATTATGATGAAGATATTAAAAAATTACAACAAACTCTAAATTTTCAAAAAAAATCTAAAAGTTATTATTTTTAATTTGAGAACATTAAAATAATTAGATGTGGAATTGAATTTTTTTATGTGAAAGCGAATAATTTGAACTGTTTAACAATGTAATATATAATAAAGTTATTATATAAATAGTCCCCTAAAGTGTGCTTTATATTGAATTTAGGTACTTCAAGTATTTTTTTTTATTAAGAATCATCCTTTAATCTTACTATCATTTTTATTTTTCATTCCATCCGTTAAATTATGATATGAAAAGCAAATAAGACCATATGATTAGGGAAAAAGTGCCAGGATAATGTGGGTGGGGAAGTTTTTTTCCAGGATAATGTGGTTCCCACATTATTTCCCCATCTAGGGTGTTTTCTACATTACAAGCCTAAAGACTCCAGGAAATCTTGGCGTCTTCACGTAAAATGAAACTCTCTGGGATAACTTGGCATCTTCAAGCAAGTTGGCCATGCAAAAGACTCTGTGATTACTGGACATCTTCAGTGTAGGGTAGTAGGTTGCCTCAGACTGCGAAACAGGTAAGTATTAATGGAAATATTAATATTCATTATTAACCGAGTAGGTTGGTGGTTATTGGTTGAACGAAAAATTGTAATAAATATTGGGTATTTTATAAAATGGGGTGTTTTGGTTGAGAATTGAGGAGTAAAGTAGTGGTGAGGAAGGAGAGAAGAGGCAAAATCTAGAGAAGAATTGAAATAGTAAGCATCCGAGAAGAATAGTAGAGAAAATTTTGAACGAAATTTTCTTCTAATCTATAATCTGTAAGTATTATTCGAATAAAATTTTATTCGTATTAGAATAAAATATCTCTATTTCGGAAAGGTTTTTAAAATATTGTTTTTAATATATTGTTGCAGGTAAAAAATAAGTGATTAAGAAATTCGAGAAAGTTTTTTAATAACATCAAGTTGTCAAAAGAATAGTAGAGAAAATTTTGAACAAAATTTTCTTTCAATCTATAATCTGTAAGTATTATTGGAATAAATTTTACTCGTATTCGAATAATATATCTCTATTTCGGAAAAGTTATTAAAATATTATTTTTAATATGTTGTTGCATGTAAAAAAGAAGTGAGTAAGAAATTTGAAAAGGTTTTTTTATAACATCAACTTGTCGGAAGAAACTTTCAAGTAAGTGTAAAAATATATTATTTAAAGTATTTTACGATTTATTGTTAGTTACATATTGACTTAGTAAATATCATTTTACGATTTATTGTTATGTAAATATCATTATTGATTTAATATTTGTAGTAGAAATTTTAAGATAATTAGATGAACATATTTGATTTAGTATTTGTAGTAGGAAAATAATATTTATTATAATGACGAAATAATATTCATTATAATGACAAAAAATAACGGCAACATTAATTATCTATTAATAACCCGAGTAGGTGGTGGTTGGTGATTATTAATTATCCATTAATAACCCTAGTAGGTTGGTGGTTGGTTGTTGAACGAGAAAGTATAATGAATTAGGGAGTAATAAATTCGAAGTAATAATAAGTAGTTATAAAAAATCCAAAGTAATAAATTTAATCATTATTATAATGTAATCATAGTATTTAAGCCGAACATATTTGATTTAGTATTTTTAGTAGAAAAATAAAATTTATTATAATGAGCAAAAATAATTGCACCAATAATGATGCGATAATAACCCGGGTAGGTTGGTGGTTATTAATTATTCATTAATAACCCAGATAGGTTGATGATTGGTGGTTATTAATTCTCCATTAATAATATGGGTATGTTGGTGGTTATTAATCATCCATTAATGCCTCGGGTAGGTTGGTGGTTGAACTGGAAAGTATAATGAATTAAGGAGTAATAAATTCGAAGTAATAATAAGTATTTATAAAAAAAATCCGAAGTAATAAATTTAATCATTATTATAATGTAATAATAATATTTAAGTATTATTTTTTTAAAATATTGTTAATATATTTACATATATAATAAAAAATATTGTTAATATATTTACATTTCTTAATAATTTAATAATATTTATTATAATTTTGTAAATAATTTATTTTCATTATAATTGTAAATGTAATTTATTCTAAATGTCTATATTTTTACGTGTAGAGAAAATGAGCAACAAATTTTCCACGATTACCCATTACAATGGACATATTATGGAAAATGAAGTTGGAGTTATTTTTCAGTCTGAAACACCTATAAATATGATGTTTAAAAGGGACATCACATTTGTAGAAATGAAAGAGATGATAAAAAGGAAAATCCGAGCTACAGTTGATGGTTTGAGATACAGGTTTATGGTATGTCCCAATCCGGTCAGGTATGCTGCAATACCACTTCAAGATGATGATGATATTATAACTATGATTGAATTACATGAATCAACAAATATTCCAATTATTGAGTTATTTGTTGAGGTGTGTAATATATCTGATGTGCCTGGGTCATCAAGAAATGCAGTTTGAACTTCATCTCAAATGGCTTTCGAAAGTCAGTTTGATAACCTGACATATAGGTCGATAAACAGCTTCATGGTGATTTTGGAAGTACAAATGAAGTTGGTGGAACACCTGGAGCCGTAGAGTATGATGCTAAAAACCGTTGGGAAGAAATACTTGATTATTCCAGTGAAGATAAAGAAACTGAGGAACCCCTTTTGGCTGAGGACGATGATATATTCGATAGTGATGAAGCTGATATCAATGTTGATGAATATCCAACACTGTTTCAACCTACCACTCACATGTAGGAGATATATTATGATGCAATGATGGCACATGAATTCCAGAAGATGCCACATTTAACTTCAGGCTACATGACTGAATCGTCCGATAACTCTGCTGAATTATCAGTTGAGAATCAATACAGAGGAAAAAAAGAAGCTATTCTGGCGATTAAAAAGTATTGCATAAAAGGCCATGTTGATTGCAAGGTTGCAGAGTCCAACCAGAAAACTCTGTACGCAAAGTGTGTTAAATATGGGCCCGAGTGTAAGTGGCTGAATAGAATGTCAAAAATGCAAAGGCAAGATACTAGGGTCATCGCAAGGTACAATGGTCCACACACATGTTAAAACTCTATCGAACAAGACCACCGACTACTGAACTCCAATGTAATATGTCAATATATGAAGGTGTTGGTTGAACAAAATCCAAGGATCCCTTGCTCGGTGTTAACTGCATCTATTCAAGACCAGTTCATATACAATTTAAAATAAAAACCCGTTTGGCATGCGAATGAGAAGGCAATGAGGTTGATATATGGTGATTGGGATACATCATACAATGAGTTACCTGATTTGTTACAAGCTATGAAACAATTCATACCTGGAATCATCATGAAATCTCAGACCATGCCTGTATACAATCGAGAAGGTCAACTTCTTCAAGGGAAGAGAATATTCCATAGACTCTTCTTGGCATTCAAGTCATGCATAGAAGGTTTTCCATTTTACAAACGTATGGTCCAAGTAGATGGTACGTGGTTATACGGTCAATACAAACATATATTATTGATAGCAATTGCGCAGGATGGTCATCGAAATATCATCCCAATTGCATTCTCCATCGTTGAAGGAGAGACGGCAGAGGCTTGGGATTTCTTTTTGACTAATCTACGTAAGTATGTCATCCGAGAAGATAAAGTTTCCTTGACATTTGATTGAGGAACATGCATTTTGGCAGCAATTGAACGACCGGAAAGTCGTTGGACACCTCCACACGCATATCCCATATATTGTATCTGTCATATTGTATCTGTCATATTGGTA